GAACAAAGGTGCATGTACCGCAATCAATAACAGACTGACAAAGACAGATAGCATTCTGATGTCAAAGCTCCAGGAAACTGCTTTCATAATTTAACCAAACAACTTGACAAAGAACTAAAACTGACCTAACTCTCATCTGGAATTTGCCACCTGACAATCGGCATAATTAACGACTGCTCAGTTGGAGTTACAGGATGACTCACTCAGAGTCATCGTTAAAAGTTTCAAGTCACTTACTGCTGTGTAAAGCGTCTCTACTGTATGTGTAACCATGGAACTCCTGTTGCCTTTCCATGCCGATAAATCAATGAGTCAAAGCGTGTTTGATCCTGGGGATCCGCTGTGCGGGCCCCAACATAACCCACATATCACATGACCTATAAAGGTGGTCTACCTCCGATACCATGCCGCCTCAGACAGCATTAAAGGGCCGTCAAATTTCTCTGACCCCAAGGAATGTGTCTTGCTGAAAATCATTTTGAACGCCAAAGCTGCTCTAATTTTAACGTGTTTTATGGATTACATGCCACACAGTTTTTCTTTGATTCTGTAAAAAGAAATCATCTAATATCTACAAGCATAAGTTGAATAGAATAAATCTGGAATCACTGTGAAGTGAGCTGATATGTTTGACAGTATGTTTGCTCTTGTATAAATAAACACAAATTAATAAATAACAGTGTACAATGTCAGTATCAAACTAAAGCCAAACCTGTGACACACCGTAAAAACAGCTTGCTGTGATTTCCCAAGGTACAGGGAAACAAGCTTGTGTGTGTGCATGTGTTTTGTGAGTGAACCCCCTGTTTAGAGTAGAAGATATGGGAAAATGAATTTGCCTCTGGACAGACATGAACCTTGATCCTTTGGAGCCAAGTGCGGAAGCCCAGACCACCGAAGCTGATCCCTTCAGCTTTAGCGAGAGGCCAAGCGAGGTAAGCGACAGCACAGGAACTGATTTTAATCATCTTTCTTCAGACAAAAATCACTTAATGCCTGTTTTTTCAAAAAACATACTTTGCGATATTGTCTAAGGTATAAGTACCACGAAGGACGCTTGATGAAAAAGTAATTCTGCTGTCTGGCTGATATGGAGTTTTTGAAGCCGACACTGACATCGGGTGCAGATAATATATCATTCAATATTCAGTACTGTCAAAATTCCTGGCATTGAGCCCTCAAAATTCATCATTATAGAATTGTTACAAAGACATACACACAGTTTGACAATACACTCTAATAAACAGGACATTAGCTGTAGGACGAGTGTAAGTTTTTACCTGTGAACCAATAATCATATATGCTATATCACAATTATAAGAAAACGATTTTAAATATTGAACTTATAGTAGGAGGAAAAGTCTAAAATATTTAAAATTACACACTATAAAGATTTCATTTGCAATTTCTATATGCCAACATAGAGAGTCATTTTGGCATGTTAATATATCCTTCAGGATTTTATACAGGCTATACTGTCCTGGTGGTTTATAAGGAAAAGGTTGAACACAAGTCTAACATGTTTTATATGAAGAGTTTAGACATGGCAATGTTACAGTAAACTTGGTTTGATAGAAACACACCCAGACAGCAGCAGCTGAATGCCACACCCACTCGTTTCTACAACTTCCGAAAATCCTAAAAATAATTGAAAGGAAAAAGAAAGACAAGAAAGAAAAACCTGTACACTGCCATTGTAAGGACCACTGCACAAGTGGCACAACTGTCTGGAGTCCTCTGCACCAGGTGTCATTGAACAGGCAGATGTCAGTCGTGGAGGTGACAGCTGGTGGACTGTCAGTCGGTCTGACGGGTGTTACAGAGATTCGAAGGTTTGGCCCGCTGTCCACTAATTAGTGCCTCTAGTGAGAGCCGTGGACCTGCTCTACCTTTTTATTTCTGGTTTCTCCTCCACACTTCTGTCTTTACAATTTTCCGTCTCTCTACTCTTCAATCATGTGGTTTTGGCAGAGCCCAAATGCTACAAGACCAGATTAAGTCTCCATTTTATAAAATGGATGTGTTTCCTACTCCTGCCCTACTAAAGAGACGGTAGATTGGATCCCAGTGGGGATCAGCTTGCAGGTTGACAAATGACTCACTCTGTCTCTCCAAGTCTCTTCAATTAGCACAAGTAAGCACGGAGAACATGTCACGTCACGTCAACTACATAAATCACCACCTAAAAAGTGAGAGGTAAAATCACAGCACAGGTGCTGTGGTGAGGTTGAATCATTCACACTATGAGGCCGTTCTGCAACTCTTAATGTAATGCACGTAAACATATATTCTGTGAAACTCTGGCTAATGTGTTGCCTATAAGATTTGATCAGATCAACCACCCGGCCCAAACCTCAGCCCTTGTAAAAGGATCAAGTTCTGATGGTGACCGAGGTCCAGCAAACTGAAACTTCATGAATCTGCCACCTTCCAACAAACCACTTCAATCGTAGAGGATGGCAACGGAACACAGACAGAGGAAGTGAGTGAGAGAGGGGGGGGAGGGGGGGATTGATAACCAGAACCAGACCATTCCCACGGCACAGATCTTTGCCAATTGCAGTTAACATAATCCGGCATGGTGGAACCATTTAATTATCTAACCTCATTCCTTCTGCTATAATCACCCTATACATGAACTCCGGATTACAATATTTCAAATTCACTTTGAGTCATATTTGACAATTTAGCACCAACGTATTTAAAAATGTGTGATCTATGACATTTGCAGTCCCTATGATAAAAATGTCCCAGAGGAGTTATGCTCCTCACTGTTCTTCAACCACCGAACAATATGTGTGTGAGTGTCAGTTATTAAGCCAGGCAGCAATTAGGCCAACACGAGAGAAGGCAATGTGGACAGCCTGTCGATGCTTTGGTCTCTGACCAACAGGAAGTCAAGTTAATAACATTCCCAGCCATGAGACTAATTCAAGTTTACTATAGAAAGTCATTTTGGTTTCTTTGGTTCAAATTACCATATTAAAGGATATTTAAAATAATCTGAAAAGTTATCGTTAAAGTTTGGTGGAATAGTTTTATCTACGCATGAGTTTATAAAGAAGACAAAAATGTGTATTTATTACAAACTGCTTCACAATGTGAAAAAAAGAGAAAGTCTCCCTCAAGCATACTCTGCAGCAGGTTATCATTATCACACACTCAATGTTCAAGCATCCTCTTAAAACCAGCAGGACATTTGGCTAATTCAAGTAATGAGGCTAATCAGTTCACACCCGCATCTCAAAGAGAAGCCAGTCGTAATTTGTAATGATCAAAAGGCTGTTTTAGCAGCTGGGTTGAAACAAAGTAGTTACTCTTTGCCACTGGCAAAAACCTGTAGACCAGTGCGGAAAAGACTCCACCACTGAAAGACAAGTTCAGCACTAAATGTGGAGTGGAGATTTCTGTTTGTTTCAGCCACTGAGCAAAGTTCTACCCGTAACATAAGCACAGTATATGGCTGCAACATATGTGACTTTTAAGCAATGATATCTCGAATGCACCACACACTAATCATCTTCCACATCATCGATGGATATTCAACATCTGGAAGGTTTTTGCATACATTGACTATCATGGTCTTTCTGTTACACTAGAAGATAGAGATGATGCTAGAAGTGAAATGTATGTATAGAATAGCTATTTGGTCTCACACGTATAGTTTGCACAGAGCAGAAGCTTACACATTTAATTCAAAGCGGACCAGGAGGAAGAATCAACGCTGGTTTGTATTGCCCTGAAATATATACCCTGAGTTTCAGACAGTCTGTCCACTGTCTGAAGGGTGAGTAATAGCTAGAATTTGATTATATATTCTCAAATTAGTTGTCCTTTTCAGTTTTCAAACATCGCTTTTATGAATCCTGGCGGTAACCTCCAGTTACGAAAATAAAAGCCAATGTGCCTTAAACTTGCATTCTTTCTAACAGCCAGCAGGGGGCAGCTCCTCTGGTAGGTAGGTCAGATTGTACAGAAGTCTATGATAAAATGACACTGTAAAGAAGAGTTTATAGTCTCAATCGCTAGTGTCAAGTCTTCCTCAATACAGCATGATGTTCATTTAGTAAATCATGATCCCATTTAGACAATAAAGCAGAGTGTGCTTTAGGGCGGGGCTACCTTATGATTGACAGGTTGCTACCACTGCATTGTTCGCTCTGGGAGTTGTCCGTGTTTTGTCTTACAACTTTAATCCCTTTCAGTGTGTATTCAGTTCATGAAAGTTTATTGTAACCATTTTGAACGCCCTAAAACGTCATATTCAGCGTTCGGTTGTACTTAGTTCCACCGTCTTGTCAGGTCTGGTTTCAAAAAAACAAGAAGGCAACTGCCAAAAACCAAGATGGCGACAGCCAAAATGGCAAACTCAAGGGTTCCACTTCTTACATGCAGTCTATGTGTAAGTCCAAGCTGTTTCAGACATTACAGTGAGGCGGTGAGGAGCAGTGAGAAAACAGCGCAGCCTGACAACTAACAAAGACCGCTCTGTCTCACTGCAGCTCAATGGCAGGAAAGCAGGAAGACTCCTGTTATTTCCTTGGATGGTGGGAATCCTACAGGTGCACGCAGTAAGTGAATGACGATGATAAGCAAGCGACTGAACGTTTAATTTCATCCTGGCACAGCCATCATCATCTCTCTCTCTCTCTCACAGAGTTAACCCTTTCAGCTGCATGGACTGCTGTATAGACCGGTTTGTCTAGACTGCCCTTGCTAGAAGACCATGTGGTTGTAAATTCACAGCTTTATTCCAAAATGCTGTCACATGTGAAGGAAATAGATTTCTACATTTCATGTTTTCACTGTACAGTACAAAACCTCTCATGACAGAAACGTATCACATGTTCGATCAAAGACACATCATGGTTTTCACCTTAAATTATCTGTTTACTCTTATTAACAAAATTGATGCTCCTCATAGCTGCATGTTGTTCTTCTTTCAGACAATGACGTGTGATTTAGAAAAAAATGAAAATACAAAAATGTTGAAAGGTACATTTTTTATTCAAGTCAGGTTGGAATTAACGTGCTTTTCTTAATATATATTAACCCAGAACACATTTGAAGAACATTGACAACATTTCACATATTAACATATTACCTTCATGTATTTGCAATACATTTCCAGGGAACATTTGTGATTTTCAAAATAAAATAAAATATTTGTTCTTGAACCAACTGATTGAAAGTGGAAACATTTAGAATATCTTTAAAATAAGAAAAAAGTATCATCAGGTCCAATCCAAAATAAGAAAACAACACAAACAGGCCTGTTATATATATATAATATTCTGCATTCAATGCATGCTATCGTTATGTTCTGAATGAAACCACAAACTGAAATATTCAGTACAGTTTCCTATCTTGTCCTTCACACTTTGTCTCATCCTCCATGTCATGCACTCATCCGCAGATGATCCTTAGGAACTGATCTGGGCATATAAAAGGCCTTATTTATGGGATGTTTAAAGGAGCGAGTGTGACATTCCTGTTGAGGATTACTACACCAGCAAGCGCATGTTGGGGGATTATCCAGGCGGCCACCTGTGGTCTTCAGCAGACGCTTAGGTATCATCAGAATCCTAAAAGACAGCAAGAAGGTCCAGTAGTCAAATGTAGAATGCACGAAAAAAGACCCAGAGTTGGTCTCCATAGGTTAATTTCTATCAGTGTGAAGACACACTGTGATGACCTCAGGACCTAAAGCTGGTAGCAGAGGTAAAGGAAGAGGTAAGAAGGTGAAGACAGAGAGACAACACAACCATATTAACCCTCTGCAAAACAACCCTCAGGTAGTTTGGGCCACAGAACATCTACCGAATAAAAGGGCAGATGAAAATCGAGAAACAAGGGGGAGTTAAAATGCTAGTTTAGAAGGTGGAAATGAAAGAGATGGCGTATAGTTTATTTTCATAATGAAAAGAGGGAGGAAAACATCAGCAAGACATGATGAATAAGCAGCAACAAAGCAGCTTTAGTTCGTTGTTGGTGACACCCTATTTTCAGGGTGTAACCTGTTGTCCCTCAGTAGTTACTCTGGTCTCACACAGAGCCAAGGTTGAGGGGCTTGGCAGCCAAATTTGAGCTCAGGGCGAAGTCATACTCTTGAGAAATTGCTTCCATACTGCTGGTCCAGATCCTCTACCATGCTCTCCAAATCATTAGCAGCACTAGCAGTTCCCAAGGAAGCACTGGAGGGCGTCAAGTGTCTGTTATCACATGACCGCTTACGCATCTGGTCAAAGTAGTGACGGCAGCTCCAAATGGAGCAAGCAGTCTGACGTTTTTGGAGACCGATAGCGTCATTCATTGCTCGTCTTTTGATTTATTGAAGTAGACAGACAAGCAGCAAGTCTCTCCCGCGAGCTGTGGCAGGTAATTGTCACAGTTAAAGCAAACCAGATGGCAGTGACATGCTCTGGCTTTCTGAGAGTTGCTTTCTCAATCTGGGACAAAATCTGGCATCAAATCTGGGGACACGTCCCACCACTGTTTCCCTAGTTGCCACTGTTTTGGTTGCTAGTATTGAGTTGAGGGTTGACTAGTCGAAAGTAGCTTGCCACATAGCTGGAGAGGGATCGGGAAAACATTTTCATCAGAAAAACCTTAGATTTAGGGCTTTAATCATATTCATGATGAGTCCCGGATGTTATCTTTGTTGAGGTGGAGGATGGACACAAGAAAGCAAGAAAGAGAAGCAAAGAGAAGGGAATGAAGAGTAGAGAAAGGGAAAAAGTTAGAGGTTGTGCATGACTTGCATTAATTATTGCACAAATAAGAATTTTATCACATTTCAATATTTCATATTTCATCCCTCAATATGGAGATGTACTTCGGGAATTACAGTACAGTATCTTGATATGAGCCACAGCTGAATAATATTAACATGCATTCTGTCCAAGAAGTTCATGAAAAAAATATTTGCCACAAAATAAAATCTGACTGCAAAGGGGAGAGTGCAAATGAGAGAAGAAGTGCATGTTCGCACTGGAATTTGCACATGCACTTAGTTGAACCAAGCAACACTACACACTGCAGTCATTTTCAGTTGTTTATTTGCCAGCCAACACCCAAAAGTAAGCGGTAGTAGCACGTTATGAGGTTTTCAGATTTTGAAAGGAGGGTCATTACAAATAATGAAGGAGAGGCGTTCAACTAACCAAATGTATCACATATTGACTGACAACATCATAACAACTGTAGGTTGATATGACTATCCCAATGCAACAACTGACTCTGGAGAAGGTAAAGTTACTGGCACAAAAATGTGATGAATGTTGCTTTTTAGATTCTTTTCTTGAAGAAGTAGCACACAAACAAGACGCAATGTTAGTCTGAGCTCATGTGTTTTCCTAAAAGGCAGACGTTCAAGAACCTGTGATCATTCTATTGCAGTGCGTCAGTGTGAGAAAACGTGCAGCTGTCTAATGTGGAAAGACCTCACAACATTGTATGTACGAGCCGGATGTCCAGGAGACACCTCTAAAAACCCAAATAATAACAGAAGCTGATTAAGATCTTGAACCCTGTCAGACCCACCAGTGAGTCCGTCTTTCTCAAGTCCTGTTGTTAAAATGTTCACGCCCAGAGAAATGTCCCAAAGGAAAATGAGAATCGCCATAGATAGAATATGAAAAATATTTGTGTTTCTTGTGTTTTGCTAAGTACATTTTGTGTGGCCTATTTATGAGGATGCAGCAACTACTCATACAGGAAGACCACTGTATCTACCCAATGAGTAATGCAATCAATACTACAAGGTGAAAGAGGGAGGAAACCAAATAATTATGCAAAAATGTGCAGAGGCCGAGAGCTGACACTGTTGGATGCTGGGAAGTGGGCATCTGTGGGCTTTTCTGTAACCCCAGTGATGACGACAAAAAGATGATTCAACCTTCGTTAAGTGGAGGAGTGGAAGGATTGGGGGATAAATATTCATAAGGGCACCCCACATCAGTTACTGCAGTGGTTTTTCAGAAGTTTCTCAGTGCAGAAAATGAAGAATAAGACATAAAAAATTAGGGAAATGAGAAAAATTATTGGTCATAAAACAAAGCTTAACATAATGTCCTCTCATTGTTGTTAAACTCTGGTTTGGGGACACATGGAACAGTTTATTCTTTGAATACTGGAGAGATGTCATGTTGACACTATCTTAATACGAGCTACTGAACTCTTCCAAGGATAACTTTTGTACTGCTACTGTATGTGAACAGAGGCTCCACAATACAGCTATGAACTTAAACAAAAAGTAAGTCATCTGGAGGAAGCAGTGGCTTACCAAATATGGTGATAGATTGGTTGCATTGGTTATCTGACGAACCTGAGGCTTCATTCCTGCTCAGAAGGTTCTGGGCTCAGGCTGTGAAGCAACCTACGCTTCCGGCTCCGCTGTTCATCTTCCTCATCAGAAAAGGTTCGGTCCACAGAGATGCCATAGCACACCAGATCACGACCTGCATTCAATATAAACCGCATACACACACACACACACACACACACACACACACACACACACACACACAAGTGTTCAGAAAACCACCTTTGAGACCGTGGGTCTTAATACATCATTACTTTGCATCTACGCATCTTTGATGATGTCATTAAAAATCATGTTTATTGTAAATCAAACCCATGAGATGCATATTACATTTCTTCACAATGACGTCTGACTGTTGGATTACAAGTTCTCTAAACAAATACCTCTAAATGTCTGCACACTGATGTCTTGTCTTGTTCCAGATTTTGGGGATTTTTGGTTTCACTACAAAAGTCCAAATTCTCCACGTTCATATCTCCATTAGTGTCATTTGTGGCAGTCTCAGGGCATACTGCCTCAGTTAACCTCGGTTAACCCTGGACAACTCAACACCTAATGTCCTGCGACGTTTATCGGGAATAGAGATCTGGCATTCCACACAAGCCCGGTCATACGTTTGTTTACACACTGACAAACACACAAACACACCTGTTTGCCCTTTAACACTGCTGCGAGCTCATTCAAAAGGTTTGACAGATTGAGCAGTTGTGTTAGATCAAAAGAAATACTTAGAATACTGTATTGGCTGTCTGATTAGGAGATAGCACTTGTCATGTGGATGGTGAACTTAATGCTAGTGTTGATATTCTCTGTAAAATGAAGAGTAAATCAAGTTGGACATTACGGTCTACCTGACTGTTAAAAAGACCCATTTGATCACGTTTTATCCATTTCTTCCTCCCTTAAGACACACCGCCTCCTCTCCTCTCATTCTCCTTTTCCATCTTGAGTCACTAAATTGTGAGTGATATGCTTCCTATGTGTCCATTATCCAACTCCTAACTGGTGTGAACAGGTCAAAGAGAGAGTTTATTCATTTGTCTCCAATTCTGCTCTGTCATTACTCTCTCTTATCAGGTCTCGGCAATATGAAAACACACCTCGAGGCGCGAGGGTTGACAGGGGCCAAGCCAGTCAAAGGGGAATTGTGTGGCCCACTATGTCTGTAAAGTTTAAGTAGATTTCTTCATGCAAAAAAAACATTAAAATTTGCTTTTATGCACAAAGTGTCTGAACTGGGTCAAACGGACGAGCCAAATGGGTGGAGACTGAAATTCAACAAATATAAATGAGGTCTCAAATCCACCAAGTTTACTTCATCTACTTACTGTGTGCGTTCACTCAATTTGTAAAGACTCAAGATTGTTGTGGCTCATACTCTATGTTACATGTCCACAGATCATTACGAAGGTGGCTGTGAATTGATTGGTTGCTGCAGTTACAAAGCAAAGACTGCACAAGATAAACAAGCAGGAATAACAGTCCATTAGGCACCCATTAGCATATTGTAACACAACCATTGACATGAATTCATGGCGTGTTTCCATCGTGGCCAAGTGAAGGCCAAAAGAGAAACGCCCAGAGACGAATTTGTTGGACAGCTGAATTAGTGTAAATACTACAACAATTTTGGAACCACCTATAATGTTAAAAAGCTCAGAATACAGAGAAAATACAGGGGCCACATCCTCAAGGCAGATAATTATAAGAGATAAGTGCCGGGTGATTTTCACTAACAAGCTGAAAACACAAGAAAGCATTGTAAAACCCTTCTGGACTGCAAGCAAAGGCGTGTGAGCCAAGACCCATATGCGCAATCCGCAACCTCCAGCCATCTTAACTGAAGGGGAGGGTGTATGTGCGTGTGTGCGAGTGAGAGAAAGTGCAGCAACATGAGGACAGAACGACAGAACCTGCTAACAGCATCAATGTATTTTGCAACTGTATGAGCGTCATGGTTGGGGTGTGCAGGGGAGCAATCAGTGGGTTATCCCAGCAGATTGCAACATGTAGTACAGGGGGGTAAGATTCAGCAGATGTGACATCACTCCCGCTCTGCCTGTTGCAGGAAGTGGCTGACCACCTCATGGTCGGCCATGTTGAAGCAATCACAGCTCACAGCAGACTTTGCTGGGTGGGTTTATGACTCACTGAAAAGTGCTTCCCAGAACCCGGCTAACCAGGGATATATTCTGTGCTTGTGTGCACTTTTAAGTGTACGTTAAAACCCCCTGCTTACATGATCAGTTACATTCAACTGTCAAGTTTATGAGACAGTAAAAATCAGTTCAAGGAAAGCAAAAACTCAAGAGTTTCACTTAAGAGTCTGCATCAATTCTGAGTCACATCGTGACCTATGACATAACAAGGAGTACCACGAATGGGAGTATTGGAGCACAACGTGTAGACGGTGTGTTCTAACAGTAAATCTGATCTATGAGAAACTCCCAAATGAGGACTCAGTCTAAAGTTTTTAATTACTTTCTGAAGCATCCTAAAATGCATTTATCTTATTTTCCCCGTCTTCGACCCTTTCTAACTGATACATAAGTTATCTGATAGCTTTGCGATTAATATGCTTTAATATGGAGCACTAAAATCATAATCTTGTCACCAAACTCATGCTGGGACTTCACCATGTGGTTGAAACAAAGACTACATGGAATTCCAAAAACCTAAACTGGTTCAAACCATGCTCAACCCCATCAGGCGTCAAAACATCACCTCTGTGTGAGATTTGGTTCAAACCACAACGCTGGTGCCTCATTGGACGAGGGCCACGGGAACCCCAGGGAGTCCCTATGATACAGCCGTGACGTCACTGAGACTATAAACATCAGCGCATACCTTCACTCTGCGCCGTCCATTGCTACTCCATTCGTATGAAAGGAGGTGAAACAAAACGCTGGTGGAACAATAGATTGGATCCCGAAGGACGAGCGGATAACTTGCCTTGTGCTTCTTCAAGTCGACATTCACTGTTTTCTCCGCCGCCAGACAATTAAGCCGTTTAACCCGCCGATACAGAGCGGTTACGGTTCCCGGTTCTAGGCTTAGAGAAATTCCGCCTAGAAATCCGAAGAACAAATGCCTGCTGCCATACAGAGGATTCGTTTGCAAATTCAAACCTTAACTGTTCCCTCTGAATGTGGAACAGTACTTTGACCATTGACATTGTGAGCAAACACTAGTTTTTAATAATCCTATTGATAATAATAATAATTGTATTAGCATCAATAATTACATTTTCATACTTGCTAACAAAAGACGCTCCTGCCAGGTCCCAACACTCACACACATTTGTGCGTGTTCACATACAAATACAAAGCTAACTGCCAAATGTCATCATGTTATGAATTGCATCGATTCAGCTGCCTTGCCTCCAGAGAAAAGCCTTTTGTTATTTCATTCTGAGTAATTGCAGGGCAAGGAGATGCTTCAGTCTGTTTATTGTCATTGGTATCGCTGTTGCAACATATTCTGACGCAGGCAAAGATGAAAACAATAGATTTTTTTCTTTTGATTATATTATACATTCGTAACACTAAATTATTCATTATGAGTTGGGAGATAATAGTTTATTTTATTGGCTAAGCAGCAATTTTTTCCTCTAAAAGGTAAAAACAACGCTGCACTCTTAACACTTCACACACACACACACACACACACACCTGTGAGGAGAATAGTTGGCTCCTGGGATGGATGGATGCTCTGAACTGTCTCCTCTCTTCTGTCCTGACCGTCGTCGTCACCCTGAGTTGTGTCATCGTCGCTAAAAGAAACAAGTTTAAGAGAAGAAGAAAAAATATTTTATGTAGAAAACTGTTTGAGGAATAGTGTGGAAAAACAAAGAAAATTGAGTTAAAGTTTGAACGTGCTCTTGAAAATAAAGTTTACTTTGCTGCCAAATCTTTGGGTAATCAGCTTTCAAAAGTTTACATTACTGTCCACAGGGAAGATGGCAAAGCCAGACACGTAAGCAGGCATTATGAGTAAAATCTTCCATCCATACGCTGTGGCCAGATCAATGACAGAAGAATAGGCTTGTAAAGAAAAACATGTGTCACCGCCTGTGTTCTGCAAAAGTCAAAAGTGTGGAAAGCACATCTGCAGATGTGACAGCACTATGCCGTCCTGCTTGGAAACAAAAATGGCAAGTGTGCAACTAAAGCAATGTCCTGAATAACTTGATTTACCCTTTATTCCAAATTCTCAGTGCTAAACAGGGAATTAGCTAAATTGATTGCGACACAAGTGTTTCTTGTAAAGTATTTAACAAGTAGTGTATAACTACAAGAAAACCTGCAACAATTGGTTGATCAACAGAAAAATAATAGGCACGTCTGATAATTGATTTATGTCAGTTTTAAAAAAATGGTTTGATGGTTCCAGCTTCTTAAATGTAAGAATAAGCTGCTTGTTCTTGCCTTACATTGTAGTAAATTGAATATTTTTGGGGTTTCAGGCTGTTGGTCAGACTGGTTGGCTGATGGCTGATGACAAAACGTTGGCCTCCAGGAAGTTGTGATGGGCATTTTGGAAATGTTTCACCAAATAATGAATTGAGAAAAATAATCAGCTGATTAATCAATAAAGACAATAATAATAATTAGTTGCAGCCTTATCTGTTGACATTGTTGCTGGTTTTCTTTTAAGGTAACACGTTTCTTTAGGATAAGTGTCTTTTGGGATGCTTCTCAACAATGTTGTTATGAAATGTTAATTAGTGAAATACACTGTGCCTCGTGGGTATTTGACATGAATTCCCCGATGCAATACACAGATAGTACAGTACGTCTATACTTTAAGGTAACACCTGGTAGCTCGCATTTCATCAGACCCAGAGGTTCTTGTAATGACCACGTAGTTTATTGCCAACCAGGTAAACCTTGTGTATAAAAAATGAGAAACACATAAAATAAAACATATTTCAGTGGTTCACTTGCATTTTAAAGTAGCAAAGCTAGCCAGTTATGCCAGAGCATCACATAATTAGTGCAAGCCATGCTGACCTTTGTCTCCCTTCCTCATCTCTCTGCTGGCCGTCAGTGTGTTGTAGCTGGCGGACAGCATCCTGCAGGCCTCTGATCTTGGCCTTCTTCTCATTCAGCACCATGACGAAACGTGAGTACAGCTCGCCCTCCAACATCTCCTTATCTTCAACCTGCTGCTCCTGTCTGGTGAGAAAAACACACCAATGTGTGTGAAAAAACATACATGCCAGCAATGGACTCTCATATGCACATGGACAGACATGTTTAAGCAAACACAGACAGACAAATACATGTTTTAGAAGCAGAGGATTCTTGTTTGTTTGCTAAGAGGAATGATGCAGATGCCTCCACCCTGTGCAGACATTATTCACCCACGTCCTCCATCTCTGGCAATGCTCCATTTACTGGCCAAGGAATCAATAAGCAGATAAACAATTACACAGAAAAATCTACGTAAAAAGAAGTCATACATGAAATGAAAGACATACAACTGAAACTGAACTTCCCAGAAATCACAAGCTCAGTTTGCAACACTGGGTGGAACCCTTAATACTCTCTATGGGCGACCAGTGATGATGTCATACTTTGTGATTGCTGTGCATATGAACAGCTAGAAGTGCACTGCTTACAGAGAAAAGAGAGCTTGCATGCAAACAAGACAACCAACAAACAAATTCCAGCACTGAACATCTTTCAGGGGAATTTTCCATTTGAACTTGACATTTGCTCTCCATTACATATTAATTTTTTTTCTTACTCTATGAGAATTCTCTGGTGCTCCTGTTTTAGCCTACGGTTCTCCTCCAACAGCTGGCAATTTTTGGACTCCAGATATGTAGTGCGCTTTAGGGACTGGCCAATCATCTCCCGGTTCAGCTCTAGTGGGTCTGCAGCTGGCTGGAGCTCCACAGAACCCAAGTGCACCTGAAGAAAGTAGGGAAAGAGCAGCAGACAATGAGAGAGCAAGATCAAATGAGCATCAGTGTTCATATCTAAGGAAATAAAAGTTTCTCACAGCTATAGTTCTATACAGAGGAAGCAAAGCACTGTTTGACCTGGACTTTGCACATCAAAGTTACAAAACCAAACACATCTTCAAATAGCTGCACAGTCCTTGTTTGCTTGTTGCCTTGGAGATTCCCCCCCCCCCCAAAACACACACACACACACACACACACACACACACACACACACACA